ACTTAGGCGAAGAGGCAAACACATGAGGCTAGGCGGCGAGCATTGCGGACGCAAGCAGGCAAACATGAGTGGCAATTGAGAGAGCCAAACACGGCGCAGAGCATGCTTTCGCCACCAGCACTGTGGGAGGTACCTGTGAACAACCAGTCATGGCAATGAAAATGATTACCATCATCTGAGAAGGGTGCCGACTGAGGAGAGGTCGAAAAGCACATGCAGCAAGTGAAGGCAAAAAACAGGCTGACTCGCGAAGGCAATCCTGGGTGTGCGATGCAACGCCTGATGCAACCTTGGTGCTCCACCCCCTAGATACCCGCCACTCCTAAACATTCGCAGGTCCAGGCGAGCAGCGCTAAAGCGAGATAGGTACAAGCTTGGATGCAAGCTGAGAGAGAGAGGAGAGAGAGAGAGAGGAAAAACAAAAATAATAAAAAAAAAACATAAAGAGAGAGAGATAGAGAGCGCGAGCAACAACAACCAATTGGGTAACTTCGTATTGAAGGTACGCAGTAGCAAAGATGTCCCCCCTGGCCCTGTTAACCCTCCCGCTAGCCAGCGGGAGGCCTGCTCTTCGGTTCCCCGGTGGAGGGACTCACCTTCACCCTATCCTGGTCAGTAGGGACCGTGCTGGCATGCTGGATGTGCTCTCATGGCTGAGGCGGCGAAACCTGGACGGCTGGCCAAACTGTACTGGCTGGCCTTGCTCGTTTGACTGAAGTAGTGCAAGTGGCCTGGCACAGAAAGCACTTGTAGGCTGGCCAGACCATTGGTTGGCCCTTGCAGTGCTTTTGAAGAACCAACAAAGCCTTGGACATACAGGTCCAACTCGAAACTACGAGATGGCGGGGGCTGGGCACTGAAATGCAGAGAGGAAACGAGACAGCGTGAGACAAACAAAAAGGAGAGAGAAACATAATGCTGAGGTGCTGAAAGGAAGCGAAGCGCCTGCAATGGTTTTGAATAAGCTGACATGCGTGCTGAAATACAGCAGCAAGTAGCCCAGCCACCCCTCTACAGACCCCGCCCCAATCTCGCCCGCCGGCGCTGCTAGGCCGGCGCCGCCAAGCCGATGGCAGTAGTTCGTAGGAGGCTGGGCCTGCACTAGGAAAATCAGAAATTGAAGTCGAAATGAAGTGCACTGTGCTGGCATGCTGGGCACTGGCTTGGATGGAACGAAAGCGCTTGTGGGCTCGCCAGGCGGTGATGACTGGCCTCGGCAGTGCAATAAAAAATACTACATGGGTTTGGGCGCCTGGTCAAGCGGAAGCTCACAAAGATGGCGGTGGCTGGTGATGCTTGAAAGCTCCACGTCATGGGTCCGCGCCCTAAGGCAGGGGGGCCTGAAACGAGATGCGCGCTTTGAATATAAGCAAAACATGACGTGCAATGGCGGCCTGCTGCGAGCAAGCATCTGCCCACGCCCCCCCCAGTCGCCGCGGCCCAATCTCCGCGCCCAACTAACAGCGCAGGCAGGAGCGCTGGCAATATGAACAGCGGAGTAACGCAAGAGAGGACTGGCAACTGCGACGCACTGCGCTGGTTTGACTGCAACAAGGCAGAAAAGAAAAGAGGAGAGAGCGAGAGAGGGAGAGAGAGAGAAAGAGAGAGAGAGAGAGGGAAAGTGCATGTAACATGAGCGGTTTGCGAAAAAAGTAAGACAGGCTGTCGCGAGAGAGATGCTCGTGCATGCTGCTGGCTGTACTAACTTTGACTGAGCGAGCTGGTAAACAATAGGCAGTGGCTGGCCACTGTTAAAGTCTGACCTGGAGTGGCCCATCACGCGGGTCAGAGCGCCCCCCCCCCCCCTCCGCCATCTCCCGCCACCGCGCCAGCGACCCAATCAACTCCAGAGGCAGGACAGCAAGCGGTCTGAAGGACCGGTGGAAAGTGCTCAGCCGAATCGGCGGGGCCACATCCAGCAAGGGGGGCTGAAATGCACTTCGCGATCCGAGAGGCTGGAGGGCGAGTGTCAGCAGACCGCCAACGAAAGAGGTGAAGCTCGAAAGGCAAGAGCGTCAAACGCCGAGGCCGCTGGAAGTAGGAGCGCGCCCGCCGCGGCTCGTCAGCGGGCGCCGGCGACGGGGATAAAGGGGGGGATCCGGGGCGGCGGCGCGCCGAAGGAGGCGGGCGCGTCGAAGCCCTCTGCTTCCGCGCGCGGACGCACTGGACCGCGGCCTTCACCAGCCAGCAGCGAGGCGCTGCCCCTGGAAGGCGGGGGGCGGGGGCAGCCTTCAGCGGCGGATTGAGTGGCCATCGGCGAGGTCGTAGGCTCTGTATGCCCTGCCGCATCACTGCCCCACCCTTGGGAGCCGGAACAGACTGCGCGGTGGATCTGTCACCCCCCGTAAGCGCTGCCGTCCGCCTCTAGCGTTGGGAACCGTGGTTGCGGTGTCGGTGACGCCTTGTATTCGAGCGCCGGGAGCTTGGGCTCAAGCATGGCTGGCGCTGCCGTGGCAGTGGATCACTTCGCGTCGTTGTCGTCGTTCTGCGTGGCGTGGGTTGCGCTGTCGTGCCTCTGTCAGGGAGCTGCTGGCAGTGCAGCTGGTGGCTGCGCATCGCCTCGATGCCGCCCAGAAGCCTTTGGTCGCTGCTGTCGTGGGCGTAGTGCTGCTCTCAGTGCTCCGCGTGCGCGGGGCGCTTGGGCGGCCCCCGCCTGCCCCCACACTGGAACTGCAGCGGGGGCGCCGTCGGTGGGAAGCAGGCTCTGCTTCGTGGCGCTCGCTCGAGGTGCCGGCTCTGATGCGGTCATCACCCATCGGTCGGAAGAAGTAGGTAGAAACACGAAGTAGGAAGGCGTAGGAAGTAGGTTAGGTTTCCGCCCGCCTCCTGAAGAGGGGGGAAGAGGGAGAACCACTCGACTCTTGAAGTAGGAGGGCGCTGAAAACAGATTGGAATCTGGGAATCCAAAAATACCTACTTTCAACGACCGATGGGTACATGTAGCCAGCGCCGAGCCCTGGCGGCCACTGGCGGTGGGCAAACGACGAGGATTATGAGGCTAGGTGGTGGTGGGCGAAGTTTGACTTCTGATCCCATGGCGTGGCGCTGGGCTGCTGGATCGAAATTCGGTTGGTCGTTGGTGCCAGCGAGGCGTTTTGGCACGTCAGTTTCTGATGACTGGTTGGCGCTGGCTGGTCGGTGCCGGCGGGTTGGTCGTTGGCGAGCGCAGCCGCTGCGAGGCCGTGAGCGCGGCCTGCCGGGCGATATCGTGCGTCCTTGTATTCGCATCTCGCGTCAGGGGGTTAAGGTATATGTTGCTAATGTCGCCTGTCAGTCTGAAGTCTTCGCCGAGTCGGTCGCGGCCTGCAAAGTCGGCCGTGCAATTTCCCAGCGGAGGTCGCGGTCGGCAGGGCGGGCGCGGTCGCCATGGAGGCAAGTGATCGTCTGCCGCCGTTGCGTCGCTGAGCCTCAAGTATCTGGCCTGACGGGTCGGCGGCAACCCGAAAGCGGCGAGCGGGTTTGCGCGCGGATCGGACCTCAGCGGTGGGTGAGAAAGGGCGCATTGGAGGTTGTTGTGGACGAATGATTCGTCGATGAGGTGCCTGCGCCAAACAGTTGTAGTTGGTGGTCGTGCGGAAATACGTAAGTGCAACTACTGTTTGTCGAGTTGTAATAGACTGCGTTGTGCAAGCTGTCCTGGTCGCGGTCGTCCTCTTCAATGCCGTCTGTGGCACTGCGCGCTGCCCAACCTGCAGGGCAGCACGTGTCGCGGCGCTCACGCGGCGGTAGTGATGCGAGAAAGAAGGGCGCAGGAGTGCACCCGTAGTCTGCGACGTTTCGCCGTTGCTTACATCTTCTGCGACATCGGCAAGTGGAGCGCGCATTGCTGCGCCGATGCCTTCGCCGCCCAGAGGGTTTCGGATGGTGGGGGGCTGGCGCGATTGAGCTGGAGGTGCGATTGGCGTTGGCATCTTGGCCCTGGACAGCGGTGTAGGTGCATGAGTGGGCGGCGGCGGTGGCCTTGCTAGCCGGCGATCTCGCCCGCGTCTGAAGTCGAGTTGCGGCAAGAATTGCCGCAGCGGGGCAGGCAGCGCACGGCCAGAGGAATATTTGCGGAGCCTGCCTTCGTAATCGCATTCTACTTTCTCCGAATGCATCATTGGTTCGAGCTGCTCTTGAATTCATTCGCAGCGCGGGTTGTCGGCGCTGGTGTCAGCCAGCAGTCTGGGCATCGTCGCAGCGTGAATTTCGGTGGTCTGAATGCGAAGCTGGCACCGCGAAAACGAAGCATTTGCGCTGTCGGCAAAGGGCCGGTTGCGTCGCCGCCCCCGGTCTCTGGTCGCGCGCGCGGGTGCAGGCGGGTGACTGGTATAGGCGTAAGTAAGTCCACCAATGATTTGTGGACAAGCTGGGTTGTCGGGAGCCGGCGAATGGTGCTTGGAAGGGTGCGCGCCCTAGTAAACCTTACGGCGCTTGCAAGCATTTGGCAACTTCTAGCAACAATCTGTTAAGGTTGTAGCAACCCCTGCTATCCCCATACGAACGTGTAGCAAAACAGAACAACTAGTAATAAAGCAACGTAACAGTTAGAGTGTTTATAAGGATTTACGCAAACAGTTGTTAGTCGCACATTACTCTTACTATGCATGATTGGAGTTTGCTTGAGGTTAGTTACACAGTTAGCTAAGGCGCCTGGGGGGTTAGCAGCAGGTTACGTTACAAGTTACCGCGAGTTACAAGGAATAATAACCTCTGGGCTAAACAGTTACTAACATGGTTAGCGCGTGGGTTTACCGTCCCTAGCTAAAAGTTAGCGGAGATCACCGCCTGGGCCGTCTTGATGCAATCTTGGGCGTCTGAGCCGTCTTGGGAACCGTCCTGGACTGTTTTGGGGGCTGTCCTGGGTACATCGGTTGGGCCGTCTTGGTTTGGTTTCGGGGGGCTTGGACCCGAGATAGATGAGCTCACATGCATTCCATTGGGGCCCCAGTCCCCATGGGACCAGTACTCTCTGTAGCTGTTTAGGCTCCGTTGCGTTCGCTCTCACTTTGCACCCCACCATGAGCTCATCAACGAACGCGGCCTTGCAGGCCATTCGACCTCGGATGCTTGAGCTGCTTCTGAAGTATCAGGAGGACGGGCAGGTGTGTAAGGCATGGAACGACATTGTCGAGCTGCTCCAGACCAGCGAGCATCTCCTTTGGACCCAGCAGGCCCTTCCGAAGTTCGTCGGTAGCCACACCAAGAATCGCGGTGGGCTTGGTGCGTCGGTGCCCTGTCCTCTCCTTTCTTGTCCTATCATGTATCTCGCATTCCTTCTCCTCCTCCTCCTCCTCCTTCTTCGCCTCCTCTTCCTCTCATCCTTATCCTCCTCCTCTTCCTCCTCCTTCTCCTATTCCTCCTCCTGCTCCTCCTCCTCCTCCTCCTCCTACTCCTTGGTGCCCGTGGCCCTCTCCAACTTGAGCAAGCACTGCTCGGCTGGGTGGTTGCTCTCCAAGGCCAACACCGCACCCTACGCCATTGCCCTCAACAAGGGCTCGGCCTTTTATGAGGAACTCACCCAGTTCAACGCCAACTTGACCGAGACCAGCGGCCTCGAGCCCCTGCAGGATTTGATGCTTGCCAGTTTCGGAGGGACGCATTCGAACATCGCGTTGAGGGCAGTGCAATCCAAACTGACGTGCGCTGACACCTCGATCGCGCCTGCTGGCTTCCTGGACCCTGCCTTTCTATCCAACAAGCACCCTGGCTTGAAGGAGGCCCTGTCACAGGGCCTGACTTGGAGGGTCATCGCGTCAGAGGTCGCCGAAGCTTTCCCCGACATCCTGACCATAGGCATTGCCGCCCTGAACCACACCGCGAATAGCGAGTGCAGCGAGCTCGAGGGCCTCCTCACTCTCCACACGGTCTTCCAGCAGTCGGTCGCCGCAGGTTGCGATGAGAATTCGGCCTGGGAGCAAGCCCACGCCGCCGCCGTGAAGACCGAACCGTTTTGGTCGCAGTGGAGTCGGTCCTTGGTGCGCTTTGCGGAGGTCTGCTCCGCCGAGCAGCTGCACGAGGCCAGAGACATGCGCGCTGCCCCATTCAAGGCAGGCGCTACCCGACTGGAGGAGGAGGGAGGAGGAGAACAGGAAGGAAGAGGAGGAGGAGGAGGAGGAGGAGAAAGCGACGCAATATCAAGAAGATCGGAAGGTGGAAATACAGTGGAGGAATAGGGACGGGATGGAAGCTGAAGCGCAGAGGAGGATGAGGAGGAGGCGGAAGAGGAATATGCTGAGGATGCGGAGGATGAGGAGGGGGATGAGGAGGAGGATGAGGAGGAGGATGCGATGGAGGAGGAGGAGGAGGAGGAGGAGAAGAGGAGGAGGCATGAGATGAGGGCATAATGTTTTTTCTAGCGATCCCAGGCGCCGAAGAACAGCGCAAGCTCATATGGACACGTTGGGGGTGCATTTTTGGACAAGCTTGCGTCGCTATCGTGGCCAACTTCGATTGTACCGTTTCCAAGGGTGAGGCTCGCTTGCTTGATGACACAAATGTTGAGCCCGATCGAAAAGGTCATCGACGGGAAGTGTTGTTTTCTCAAGGAATCGGACATCGGGCGGTTGAGCCAGAAGGCGAACCTCGAAGCCGTCGAGATTGCCGAAGGGATGACGGAGAAGTCTCGGGAATGGCTGCAAAGCTTCCAGCTGCCGCGGTCGACCATGCTTCAGCTGATATGTTCGCACGACATGAGGCTCCTGTGTTTCATCATCAAGAAGGGTAAAGCGTCCTCGGAGGGTATCGACTACCCCAGCATTGAGGCCGCGTCACAGGTTCTAGTGAACGAGCTGCGCGAGCTCACCAAGGGTGACGTCCCCAACCCGTGGCTGAAGCACAGGCTGAATGGCAAGCAGGAGCTAAAGGCGCACTCCACTCGTCCTCTCCTCTATCCCCTCCTCATCCTCCTCCTCATCCTCCGCCTCCTCCTGCTCCTTCCTCGTCTTCCTCCTTCCCCAGCCGTCTCCTTCTCCTCCTCTGCCTCCTTCCCTCCTTGTCCTCCTCCTCCTCCTCCTCCTCCTCCTCATCCTCCTAAGTGGTGGAGTGCGCCCTTGGGTCTCAGCGTTTGCCTTCAGATGCTCAGCGTGGACACCCCGCAGGAGGAAGCCGATGACACCCAGGTGATGGAACAGGTCTCTGGATCGCAAGCCACCCCCTTGATGAAGATCGGCGAAATGAAAGATCGAGTCTCGAATATGAATAAGCATGGTTTCTTCGTAGGAGGCATTTGCAAGAAGAAAAAGCAGAGCCCCGACGCGCCGATCCAACTGTACAAGATTGACCAGATGGACTCGACAGTTGCAAGTTTGGTACCTACCGGAGTCCGCGCGTCTGGTAGCCATCTATCCGTGGCATTGTACGCGCTGAAGGAGGAGTGGGCACCTACGAGCGCCAAGGTCCAAGAGCTAGTCAACTACCAGCTGTGGACGCCTGAGCATTCGCAGTCCTGGATGGTCAAGTTCGCCAAAGCCAACCTGCTGGCAGCGCTTCACGCCATGAGCGAGAAGATGATGGCTAGCGATGTGTATAGTGGTCTCGACATCTTCGTGACGCCCTTTGCGGTTAAGGCAAAAAAAGACTTCGGCGTCAATTGCCTTAACCTGGCGCCTGTCACCGACACCATCAAGGAGAGGAACGCCACCGAGAAAGCCAGCGACAAAGCCATCGACCTTGGCCAAGTGATCGCTGGATTGCCTGTCAGCTTCAGCCTGGTTCCCCACATGGTGGTGAACAAGCCAGACGGGAACTTCTGCACGCCATTTTGGGCCGTGCAGCCAGCCCCCGACAAAGTAAAGGGGAACATGGATTACGTCAACAAAGCGCTCAACATGACAATCGATCAAGACGGAAATCAGATTGGCAAGGTTGCTGTGACGATACCTGTAATGACCAACACCGTCGCTGTCAAGGCTGGCGACATACTCCACCTCGTCAGGAAGCGTGGCCTGAAGAGGCGCGACAGCGGTGAGTCCGCAAGCGGTGCAGGCGTGAGCCGCAAGAAAAAGTAGTTTGTACAGTTTCTTTAGCCTCAGCTACCTCCTGCGAGCAGGTCGGCGCGCGGGTTGCCGACGGTAGCAATGCCTTTGATCCGAGCTAGGAGGAGGGATGATGAGGAGGAGGAGGAGGAGGAGGAGGAGGAGGAGGCGGAGGAGGAGGAGGAGGCGGAGGAGGAGGAGGAATGGAAGACGGAAGAAGGGACTACGATGTGGAGAAGGAGGGCGAGAGAAGGAGGATGAGGAGAGTGATATCGAAGTAAACTTGCATTTTTATGGATCCCTGTGGTCGGCCTGTATTTCTCAGCACTGCCCGCCAGTCGGTTGCATTCAGACGTGGGCAAGCAATCTCCCTGTGCGCGTCGATGCGCCGTGCTCGTTTTTGTTTAGTTCGGAGCTGCCGAGCGCAACAGCAATGCGATTAGGTCGAGGCTTCCATTGACAGAATATATCCTCATCCTCCTCCTCCTCCTCCTCCTCCTCCTCATTTGCACCATCCTCCTCATCCTCATCGTCTTCATCCCTCCCCCTTGACACATTTTGCGCGCATCAAGCGACGGTCAAGCATGTGGGCCACCCAAGAGGATCACCCAAATAGCAAATTCAAGAGGTCACGAAGGGTTCAATGCAAAAGGCTCACCCCAAAAGGGCAACCCCAAACGGGCCACCCCAAACGACCACCGCCAAAAATAATAAAAAAAAAAAAAAAAAAAAAAAAAAAAAAAAAAAAAAAAAAAAAAAAAAAAAAAAAAAAAAAAAAAAAAAAAAAAAACGTGATACCACAAACGGGCAACCATAAAAGGGCAACCCCACGGGGCCACCTCGAATGGACCGCTCCAAAATGGCAACGACAAACATGCAGAAGGTCACCCCGCAATGAGTACCCCAAGCAGTACAACCCAACCAAACTCACGCATTATCGCAGGCAGTCATGGCGCCTTAAGATGCATCGAGCCCCCTCGTTTGGATCCCCCCATAGCTATTTGGCTCAATCAGCTTTCGCCCTCTCTACTGGAATAGTTTGCTTCACAACTCGCTGCTACAATGCCGTTCGAGTTTGAATTTGCCAATCTGAAGCCCATCAAGGCAAGCAAGACTGTGACAGTCGACTCGCCCATCGGTGTACGCTGGGATTGGCATGGCGCGCCATCTCGCACGGTCGGTGGTCTTGAGTTCCTGGTGCTCGAGAAGGGCGACAAATCGATGCAAGCCTGGGCGACTGGGACGAGGGCTTACAACGCCTCAGTCAGTCGTGTGATCTCTGAGCTCACGAATTTTCAGAAGGCAGCCAGTCGCGCGGAGCTTGGCCATGATTGCGCCGCTGCAGGGGCAGCGCCGTCGGAGCACAAGCAGAAGATGCAGAACAAGGCGTTGAAAGCACTGGCTGAAGGCACCCAATCGTCCACTGTCGATGTCGAACTCCCCGCCTGTGCCGTCAAAGGCCAGCACGTCGAGGCGATCACGACGTCGATGCCGCTCAACATCAGCCCGAAGACCTGCGCGCTCATCCCGCTCAATCCCAAGGTGATCACTTGGGTTTGGCTCAGGATGCAGTCGGCGATCGAGGAGGACAATGCTGATGACTATGACCAGCCCAGGAAAAAGAAACCCAAGACTGACCATTCGCCATCTGAAGGGAAGGCGTCCTCGTCAGATGGAGTTCCAGCACGCAAGTAGAGTAGGACCTCGCTCCACGTGTGAAGAGCGTGGGTAACTGCGCGTTTGCATGAGCCTGATGTTCAGAGGCCTCACACCGTTCGGAATCATACCTGCTAGGATTCGCGGGGTGGATCACTTAGCAGAGCCAGTGCGAGATGGGCGTGCTAGCTTCGCAACTGGAAACATCATCAGCATCCATATCACACTCCTCACATCTCATCCTCTCCCTTCTCCTCCTCCTCATCCTCCTCCTCCGCCTCCTCCGCCTCTTCCTCCTCGCCCGTCTCATCTCCGTCCGACCCCCCTCCTCCTCCTCATCCTCCTCCTCCTCCTCCTCGTCCTCCCTCCACGTCAGTTTCATGCTTCTCAACCTCATCATCTTCATTCTCCACCTCGTCCTCACCTTTCTCATCTTCCTCCTCCGCATCCTCGTCCTCGTCGTCCTCCTCCTCCTCCCCCCCTCCCCCTCCTCTCCTGGCTATTGGCGGCTGATCCTGGCAAGCGCTCTGCGGGGGCGGACGACTCTTCTCCCATCTCCCCTACTTGCATGGCCCCCCCGCTTTGCACGCTCCCTTGCCGTCTACATGCCTCGAGGACTTAGCCTGAACCATGTCGAAGGCATCTTCAACGCTAACCAGAACCGACGAAATTTACATACCCAAAGCGCGCCAGATTGTACCAGATAGAATTTTGGAAATCTCCTGAACATTCTCATTTCGAAAGGTCCTGGAGGCCGTCACCACCGAAGTCTTTCGAAATCGAAAGGTCCTGGAGGCCGTCGTCACCGAAGTCTTTCGAAATCGAAAGGTCCAGGAGGCCGTCATCACCGAAGTCTTTCGAAATCGAAAGGTCCAGGAGATTCTCAGATTTCAGTCTCACGACCCTCTCATCAAATCCCAAAGATTCCGACTGTGTGACAATGGTAGGAGATGGAGATGTTGAGGTCGGGTATGAGGTGAGGAATGATGCGACGACGAGGACAACGCCGAGGATGGTGAGACCGAGAAAGACAAGGTATGAACAAATTACGAACAGGTGTAAACGGTGCTTGTGACGATGCACACGAGCCAACTCAACGTGCTGTCCTCTGTATGCCGTTGCTAGTGCTACCTCTTTCCCCTGCTAAGCATATTCCTGTAACTGCTGTTGCTACTAGCCATTCCCTTTTTTCAGCCACCGTCCAAACCATAGCCGCTTTGGCTCAACCCATTTTGGCTCATCTTGGGATCTGCGAATCCGGCTTGCTGACGCCCACCAGCCGGCCTTTCTCTTGACATGGCTTCGTTTCAGAAGATACTTTCTGAGATCAATGGTGCTACGAATTTCGTTACCATGCGATCTAGTATCGCTGGCGATGCAGCGGACATTGAGAAAGTCAAGTTGTCGTTGGCTTCGTCTCTCTCGAGCATGGTGAGTTCCGTTGCGTGGCAAATGGACAGCGCGTCTGCCACGCAGTTGATGCATGCGGTACAGTCCAGCTGCTTCGACAACGCCCAGAAGAAGTTGATCGCTGACGCCATCCAAGCGAAGCTCCTAGGCTCTTCACCTTCTTCAGGCTTAGGTGCGCATGAGAAACAGTCCTGGGTGGTTGCCAACGCCGTGCTGAAATATTTTACTGCGCGTGATTGGGTAGTGATTGGAGATACACACATGTCCTTCAACTCCGACGTCAAGGCTTCTGTCATTCTATCCAGGTTTGGGCGGGCAGGGCTGGTCAGGCCCAATGAGCCTGCGTGCAAGCAAATTGTGACTATGCTGGCCGCTGCCACGTGGGCCCATAACCGACCTACGTGCAAGCAGTTGTACGATCACGTGCAGAATTTGGCGAAGTGCTTCAAGAAACTTCCGAATCCTCCCCTCGACTTGCCAGTCATTCGCAAATGGCCTGAGTCCCCGAGCGAGCTCCCCGAGGAAGTGTACAAGGCCCTCTATCCTGATGAGACCGACCCGCCAATCGTCATGGCACTCGACAGCTTCAGCACCGTGATGAATGAGGTATCGTGCCGCCACTCCAACAAGAAGGTAAGGGATACTGTCGGGCCCAGGGCTTCTTCGGCCCAGCAAGTGCCTACACTTCACCTACATCAGCCTCAGCCCTCCTCCTCAGCTTCTGGACTGCCATTCAGCCTCGTGCAGCTCATGGGGGCAGCTCAGACTATGGGCCTCACCCCCGCTCAGGCGATGCAACTGGGCATGGTTGGGGCTGGAGTCGGGATTGATGGGCAATGTCAGCTTGGCTCTGCTGATGCGCTCGGCAAGGTCACCGTTGGTTCCTGGCAACCGCAGCGTAGCCCCCTTATGCTGGAGAATGGCACGCCGTCAATCGATCCTTCCAGCAGCGCCCAGGGCAGCGCAGTGAGCGCCTCGCTGAATGCGATCGCCAAGGCTCCCCCGTCACAACCGCTGGCAGACTCTGAGCCACAGCGCGTCGCCACCGCTGCGCTTGAGATCCCGACGGACACAGACTTTGCCGCTGCATTGGCCTCTGAAGTGCCGAGTAAACGAACGGCTGGCGTCACGGAGGAGGAGGCCAAGGCCACGATTTCGAAAATGCAGGAGGAGCAGGCAATGATCGTCGCCAAGGCTAAGAAGAAATACCTCCCTGATGAGGAGGAGGAGGAACATGCCGAGCACGCTACTGAGGCCCCGACTGTAACTCCGAAGGGCAAGAATCGCAAGGCCATGCCAGCCAAAGGATCTGGCATGAAGAGGCCTGCAGCTGCCTGTGAGTCTACACCAAAAATGCCGAGCAGCGGCTCCGTCATTTATAAGGGAGGGAGGATCCTCCCCTCCAGCAGCAAAGGCGGCTGGAGGGTTTGGCCAGATCTTTCGAACGTTGGCCGTGAGAGGTGCATTCCGTTTGGCTCATCCAAGCCCAGCTCGTTCAGACAGGCGTTGAAGTTTATCGACGAGTCGGGCTGCAAAAAGAGGTGAGCACTCTTTGTCTTATTCTGCTGAAGCTGTCGCGAACAGCTCGTTAGAACCATTGCCATGGGGACGCGTAGATCGCTGCCCGACTTCGGGGGCATGACTTCGGGGTTCGCATGCTTGTCGGCAATTTCTGCGCGAGGCGCAATGTCCGATCACGCCTGGCAACAATCGAATTCGCACTAGACCATGTACTTGCGTACGTCCCAAGCGGGACAGCTTGCATATAAAACATCGCGCACCCCATCATCATCGACATCATTGGCATCGGCCCCTTCACCATCAACATCGTAATTCTACCATCCTCTTCTTCATCGTCCCGCTTGCCTCGTTGACCCGCTGCCCTCCCTCTCTCTCTCACGCATGCGCGCTATCTATCCTTACCATGGTTTGACTTTGCGGCTCTACTACTCCCAATCCTTCTTCTC